CACCAGTATCTCAGTTACCATGCCAGCTGGACCTTATTAATCTCCCCAGCACTAGGCAGAAAACTTTAGAGAAAATTCAAATTGAAGTCACGAGGCTAATTCTTGGAGTCGCCAGATGCACAAGAATAAGTAAGCTGGTTGAGTAGAAGAGTTACCAATCTCATTAAACTGAATATTCCTCTTGTATGCAATGTACTAGCCATTGTTATTACATTATATCTGTACCCAGAAATACAAGTGTCTTACACACCCATTAGCATAAAGAGCAAGGAAATGCCTTCACTCCTGAAAGCAACAACTGAAACCGTTGATTCCTTTACAAATAGTTTACGGCCTCGTGAGCACTATGCTTGCGCTGATGGGTCTGTTCAAATGTCAACAGGTCGCACTGCAGCAGCCTCTAGAATATACAAAGACAACATATGTACAAAGACAACATATATATACACAGACCTCAGGTGTAAGACTAAATAACTGGCTTGGCCCCTAACGCACTGAAGAGCAGTGGAGGAGTAATTTTCTGTGATTTAAAGTAGCTCTTCAGGCCCCTTAAAACTTTATCGTGCAAAATAGATACTAGGAATGATATATCATCAATTATAAACAACATTATTAATGTACAGAACAAGATGTTCAGTCTCATTTGTATGGATACCCTCCCATAGGTGTTGTCCAGCATGATGATACAGACAAGGCAGCTAAAACTGTATGTGATACACCCGAAATTGTGTATCCACACATTCCAATCTCTGCTGTAAAAGCCGCAGTATTTCAGGAAATTAGAGACAACATAAGAACAGTTCCTGACACTCAAAGGCCAGAAAGTACGAGTATAAAGAGATAAGAAAATACAATATAAATTACATATACATAAGTTTTACAAGGCAATTATACATTACAATTCTTAGTGAACAAGTGTTTCAGTAGTACAGAACAAGATCTTTAAAAAAAAACCCTGTATGTTATACTTATTTACGTATAAACGATTTATTGTATTTTCTTAAATAAAGATAAAAAAAAAGTATAAAGAGCTATGACATGTTTAGAACCGAGAACTATATGTAAGGGCAGCATAAAACTTGCACTAGACAGTGTGACATTGTAATTGTCAGAAGTAGGCTGGGATATCTATGGCAGGTAGCTACAGGTAATGTATCCCCCAATGGTGAACATTCCAATTGTAAACTATGTGAACAAGAGCTGGGACATACTCTCCAACACTATACCTGTGATTGCCCTGTTATCAGTGATTTCAGACCAAATGGTATGATGTACTTTGAGCTCTATAATTATTTCATACACTCACGAATATTGTAAGATATTATCGTACTGTATCTAAATATTGCTAGTGGAGGCTAATAGATCAGCCTCGTATTTCATGTTCTCTCCTGATTCCATGCATGATTAACCATCCTGTGAGATCGGGATATTAGATGAAGCTATAGCTGGTTTTTTATCTACACTGTGTAAACATTCATATGGAATATGGTAGCAGAGCATCGGTGTGTATACCTAAGCCTCTTAATAAAAAAGATCCTTTAGCACCTAGAATATCTTTGATTAACCCGTCCTGGGCGGGAAAGAGGCTTCACCTCCCTGAGGTCACCTCACATTGTTACGCCATAAACCTCATAATACACATTCGCACTTAACCTACTCAATTTCTACTAAAACTCCCTGACATGAACGAATAAGCACTAAACTGGTGAATGTCGGACGGGAGAGGCCCTCACACGGAGGGTCTCAATAAACGTATTACAATTTTAATTTCACAGAGGAGGGAGGCTGGGCGAGGCTACCTTGAAGCATGGCAGCCGCCGCCACCCTCCAGTCTCACTCTCACTTTAGGCCTAGTACCACCTTATTGTTTAGCACTATCCTTCATATATTTAGGGAGGCAGGAGAACCATGAGGGAGGGAGGAGAACCACTAAGGAGACAGGAGAACCATGAGGGAGACAGGAAAACCAGGGCGGTTCGGATAAATTTGTGGAAAGTTGGCCAACTTCCGATATAAATTTTGGTAGAGGACATGAAAATAGTTAGTGTCCATTTATATATGCTGTCCCAGTGATAGATAATGGTGGATACTTTAAATATATAAAAATACTTGTAAATACAAAGATACGTTTTCATATAATAGGCTTCTCTGTAATCCCAAACACCGGTGAAGACAACTTTAACTGCTACACTTTGGTAACCTTTGACACAGACATGACTGGTGTAAAATTACCAAGACTTTGTACTACATCGTAATTTTCTTAAGGTTAGACAATAGTGTGTGTTCAGGGCAACCTTCCATGTGTTCACTCCGCCCTCCAGAACCTTCCATGTGCTCACTCCGCCTTCCAGAACCTTCCATGTGCTCACTCCGCCTTCCAGAACCTTCCATGTGCTCACTCCGCCTTCCAGAACCTTCCATGTGCTCACTCCGCCCTCCAGAACCTTCCATGTGTTCACTCTACCCTCCAGAACCTTCCATGTGTTCACTCCGCCTTCCAGAACCTTCCATGTGCTCACTCCGCCCTCCAGAACCTTCCATGTGCTCACTCTACCCTCCAGAACCTTCCATGTGCTCACTCCGCCCTCCAGAACCTTCCATGTGCTCACTCTACCCTCCAGAACCTTCCATGTGTTCACTCCGCCCTCCAGAACCTTCCACGTGCTCACTCCGCCCTCCAGAACCTTCCATGTGTTCACTCCGCCCTCCAGAACCTTCCATGTGTTCACTCCGCCCTCCAGAACCTTCCATGTGTTCACTCCGCCCTCCAGAACCTTCCATGTGCTCACTCCGCCCTCCAGAACCTTCCATGTGCTCACTCAGCCCTCCAGAACCTTCCATGTGCTCACTCAGCCCTCCAGAACCTTCCATGTGTTCACTCCGCCCTCCAGAACCTTCCATGTGCTCACTCCGCCCTCCAGAACCTTCCATGTGTTCACTCCGCCCTCCAGAACCTTCCATGTGTTCACTCCGCCCTCCAGAACCTTCCATGTGTTCACTCCGCCCTCCAGAACCTTCCATGTGTTCACTCCGCCCTCCAGAACCTTCCATGTGTTCACTCTACCCTCCAGAACCTTCCATGTGTTCACTCCGCCCTCCAGAACCTTCCATGTGTTCACTCCGCCCTCCAGAACCTTCCATGTGTTCACTCCGCCCTCCAGAACCTTCCATGTGCTCACTCCACCCTCCAGAACCTTCCATGTGTTCACTCCGCCCTCCAAAACCTTTCACGTGCTCACTCCGCCCTCCAGAACCTTCCATGTGTTCACTCCGCCCTCCAGAACCTTCCATGTGTTCACTCCGCCCTCCAGAACCTTCCATGTGTTCACTCCGCCCTCCAGAACCTTCCATGTGTTCACTCTACCCTCCAGAACCTTCCATGTGTTCACTCCGCCCTCCAGAACCTTCCATGTGTTCACTCCGCCCTCCAGAACCTTCCATGTGTTCACTCCGCCCTCCAGAACCTTCCATGTGTTCACTCCGCCCTCCAGAACCTTCCATGTGTTCACTCTACCCTCCAGAACCTTCCATGTGTTCACTCCGCCCTCCAGAACCTTCCATGTGTTCACTCCGCCCTCCAGAACCTTCCATGTGTTCACTCCGCCCTCCAGAACCTTCCATGTGCTCACTCCGCCCTCCAGAACCTTCCATGTGCTCACTCCGCCCTCCAGAACCTTCCATGTGCTCACTCAGCCCTCCAGAACCTTCCATGTGCTCACTCCGCCCTCCAGAACCTTCCATGTGCTCACTCAGCCCTCCAGAACCTTCCATGTGCTCACTCCGCCCTCCAGAACCTTCCATGTGCTCACTCTGTTGAGGGCAGCCATTGAGGGCCTCACATCTTCAAGTGTAACTCTACACAGTGGAGCCTGGCCACAATGGCTGCCGTTGAGGGCCTCACATCTTCAAGTGTAACTCTACACAGTGGAGCCTGACCACAATGGCGGCCGTTGAGGGCCTCACATCTTCAAGTGTAACTCTACACAGTGGAGCCTGACCACAATGGCTGCCGTTGAGGGCCTCACATCTTCAAGTGTAACTCTACACAGTGGAGCCTGGCCACAATGGCTGCCGTTGAGGGCCTCACATCTTCAAGTGTAACTCTACACAGTGGAGCCTGGCCACAATGGCTGCCGTTGAGGGCCTCACATCTTCAAGTGTAACTCTACACAGTGGAGCCTGACCACAATGGCTGCCGTTGAGGGCCTCACATCTTCAAGTGTAACTCTACACAGTGGAGCCTGACCACAATGGCGGCCGTTGAGGGCCTCACATCTTCAAGTGTAACTCTACACAGTGGAGCCTGGCCACAATGGCTGCCGTTGAGGGCCTCACATCTTCAAGTGTAACTCTACACAGTGGAGCCTGGCCACAATGGCTGCCGTTGAGGGCCTCACATCTTCAAGTGTAACTCTACACAGTGGAGCCTGACCACAATGGCTGCCGTTGAGGGCCTCACATCTTCAAGTGTAACTCTACACAGTGGAGCCTGGCCACAATGGCTGCCGTTGAGGGCCTCACATCTTCAAGTGTAACTCTACACAGTGGAGCCTGGCCACAATGGCTGCCGTTGAGGGACTCACATCTCCAAGTGTAAATACTGAAGCCTCATGACTCCTATTTCTTCAGTAGAGGCCAACAAGAACTACGAGAATAATAAAGTGTTAAAACTGTAAACACTTGAGAGATAAAGAGCCAAAAATCTCTGGAAATTATTGGATGTTAAACAGTTGAGAAAATTTGAATATAACAATATTTCTAGACGGTTGGGAGCAGTGTTGCCACCTCAGCGTCCTGCCTTTTGGCGCCCTAATTTGCTCCCAAACTTGGACATGTCCGGAAATTTTGCCACAAAAACTGTCAGATTTTTCAGGAGACATATTCGTAGGTGTTGTAGGAAGATGGTGTAAAGTTTATTTATAAGTTGTGATGACGTATTGGATATTGTTTGAGAGGTGAAGTTGGTAATTGTGTGGAAGCGCGTGTGGCAAGAGTGGGCGGAGCGCGGCGGCGTCAGTTGCTGGACGACGACGGACGAGGACGGACGCCGCCGCTCCTCCTCCTTCACCTGCTGCTCCTACTCACCCTCCTCACACCTCACAATGGGCGCCGGCAGCTCTTCCTCGTCGCTACGCACTAATGTTTTGGATGAGGTAATTAGCGCCATCTTCTCCCTCCTCACTAAGATTATTTCTGAGTCCTTGAGAATATTGAAGATGTTCTCCCACACGTCTTATTGTCTAGGGTAAAGCTGGTGCTTGTGGGGCAGTAAAGTCAGGGTAAAGCTGGTGCTTGTGGGGCAGTAAAGTCAGGGTAAAGCTGGTGCTTGTGGGGCAGTAAAGTCAGGGTAAAGCTGGTGCTTGTGGGACAGTAAAGTCAGGGTAAAGCTGGTGCTTGTGGGGCAGTAAAGTCAGGGTAAAGCTGGTGCTTGTGGGGCAGTAAAGTCAGGGTAAAGCTGGTGCTTGTAGGGCAGTAAAGTCAGGGTAAAGCTGGTGCTTGTGGGACAGTAAAGTCAGGGTAAAGCTGGTGCTTGTGGGGCAGTAAAGTCAGGGTAAAGCTGGTGCTTGTGGGGCAGTAAAGTCAAGGTAAAGCTGGTGCTTGTGGGGCAGTAAAGTCAGGGTAAAGCTGGTGCTTGTGGGGCAGTAAAGTCAAGGTAAAGCTGGTGCTTGTGGGGCAGTAAAGTCAAGGTAAAGCTGGTGCTTGTGGGGCAGTAAAGTCAGGGTAAAGCTGGTGCTTGTGGGGCAGTAAAGTCATGGTAAAGCTGGTGCTTGTGGGGCAGTAAAGTCAGGGTAAAGCTGGTGCTTGTGGGGCAGTAAAGTCAGGGTAAAGCTGGTGCTTGTAGGGCAGTAAAGTCAGGGTAAAGCTGGTGCTTGTGGGACAGTAAAGTCAGGGTAAAGCTGGTGCTTGTAGGGCAGTAAAGTCAGGGTAAAGCTGGTGCTTGTGGGGCAGTAAAGTCAGGGTAAAGCTGGTGCTTGTAGGGCAGTAAAGTCAGGGTAAAGCTGGTGCTTGTGGGACAGTAAAGTCAGGGTAAAGCTGGTGCTTGTGGGGCAGTAAAGTCAGGGTAAAGCTGGTGCTTGTGGGGCAGTAAAGTCGGTAAAGCTGGTGCTTGTGGGGCAGTAAAGTCAAGGTAAAGCTGGTGCTTGTGGGGCAGTAAAGTCAGGGTAAAGCTGGTGCTTGTGGGGCAGTAAAGTCAAGGTAAAGCTGGTGCTTGTGGGGCAGTAAAGTCAAGGTAAAGCTGGTGCTTGTGGGGCAGTAAAGTCAGGGTAAAGCTGGTGCTTGTGGGGCAGTAAAGTCAAGGTAAAGCTGGTGCTTGTGGGGCAGTAAAGTCAGGGTAAAGCTGGTGCTTGTGGGGCAGTAAAGTCATGGTAAAGCTGGTGCTTGTGGGGCAGTAAAGTCAGGGTAAAGCTGGTGCTTGTGGGGCAGTAAAGTCAAGGTAAAGCTGGTGCTTGTGGGGCAGTAAAGTCATGGTAAAGCTGGTGCTTGTGGGGCAGTAAAGTCAGGGTAAAGCTGGTGCTTGTGGGGCAGTAAAGTCAGGGTAAAGCTGGTGCTTGTGGGGCAGTAAAGTCAGGGTAAAGCTGGTGCTTGTGGGGCAGTAAAGTCAAGGTAAAGCTGTTGCTTGTGGGGCAGTAAAGTCAGGGTAAAGCTGGTGCTTGTGGGGCAGTAAAGTCAGGGTAAAGCTGGTGCTTGTGGGGCAGTAAAGTCAGGGTAAAGCTGGTGCTTGTGGGGCAGTAAAGTCAGGGTAAAGCTGGTGCTTGTGGGGCAGTAAAGTCAGGGTAAAGCTGGTGCTTGTGGGGCAGTAAAGTCTGGGTAAAGCTGGTGCTTGTGGGGCAGTAAAGTCAGGGTAAAGCTGGTGCTTGTGGGGCAGTAAAGTCAGGGTAAAGCTGGTGCTTGTGGCGCAGTAAAGTCAGGGTAAAGCTGGTGCTTGTGGGGCAGTAAAGTCAGGGTAAAGCTGGTGCTTGTGGCGCAGTAAAGTCAGGGTAAAGCTGGTGCTTGTGGGGCAGTAAAGTCAGGGTAAAGCTGGTGCTTGTGGGGCAGTAAAGTCAGGGTAAAGCTGGTGCTTGTGGCGCAGTAAAGTCAGGGTAAAGCTGGTGCTTGTGGGGCAGTAAAGTCAGGGTAAAGCTGGTGCTTGTGGGGCAGTAAAGTCAGGGTAAAGCTGGTGCTTGTAGGGCAGTAAAATCAGGGTAAAGCTGGTGCTTGTGGGGCAGTAAAGTCAGGGTAAAGCTGGTGTTTGTGGCGCAGTAAAGTCAGGGTAAAGCTGGTGCTTGTGGGGCAGTAAAGTCAGGGTAAAGCTGGAGCTTGTAGGGCAGTAAAGTCAGGGTAAAGCTGGTGCTTGTGGGGCAGTAAAGTCTGGGTAAATCTGGTGCTTGTGGGGCAGTAAAGTCAGGGTAAAGCTGGTGCTTGTGGTGCAGTAAAGTCAGGGTAAAGCTGGTGCTTGTGGCGCAGTAAAGTCAGGGTAAAGCTGGAGCTTGTAGGGCAGTAAAGTCAGGGTAAAGCTGGTGCTTGTGGGGCAGTAAAGTCAGGGAAAAGCTGGTGCTTGTGGGGCAGTAAAGTCAGGGTAAAGCTGGTGCTTGTGGGGCAGTAAAGTCAGGGTAAAGCTGGTGCTTGTGGGGCAGTAAAGTCAGGGTAAAGCTGGAGCTTGTTGGGCAGTAAAGTCAGGGTAAAGCTGGTGCTTGTGGGGCACTAAAGTCAGGGTAAAGCTGGTGCTTGTGGCGCAGTAAAGTTAGGGTAAAGCTGGTGCTTGTGGCGCAGTAAAGTCAGGGTAAAGCTGGTGCTTGTGGGGCAGTAAAGTCAGGGTAAAGCTGGTGCTTGTGGGGCAGTAAAGTCAGGGTAAAGCTGGTGCTTGTGGGGCAGTAAAGTCGGGGTAAAGCTGGTGCTTGTGGGGCAGTAAAGTCGGGGTAAAGCTGGTGCTTGTGGGGCAGTAAAGACAGGGTAAAGCTGGTGCTTGTGGGGCAGTAAAGTCAGGGTAAAGCTGGAGCTTGTAGGGCAGTAAAGTCAGGGTAAAGCTGGTGCTTGTGGGGCAGTAAAGTCAGGGAAAAGCTGGTGCTTGTGGGGCAGTAAAGTCAGGGTAAAGGTGGTGCTTGTGGGGCAGTAAAGTCAGGGAAAAGCTGGTGCTTGTGGGGCAGTAAAGTCAGGGTAAAGCTGGTGCTTGTGGGGCAGTAAAGTCAGGGTAAAGGTGGTGCTTGTGGGGCACTAAAGTCAGGGTAAAGCTGGAGCTTGTTGGGCAGTAAAGTCAGGGTAAAGCTGGTGCTTGTGGCGCAGTAAAGTCAGGGTAAAGCTGGTGCTTGTGGAGCAGTAAAGTCAAGGTAAAGCTGGTGCTGTGGGGCAGTAAAGTCAAGGTAAAGCTGGTGCTTGTGGCGCAGTAAAGTCAGGGTAAAGCTGGTGCTTGTGTGGCAGTAAAGTCAGGGTAAAGCTGGTGCTTGTGGGGCAGTAAAGTCAGGGTAAAGCTGGTGATTGTGGGGCAGTAAAGTTAAGGTAAAGCTGGTGCTTGTGGTGCAGTAAAGTTAAGGTAAAGCTGGTGCTTGTGGGGCAGTAAAGTTAAGGTAAAGCTGGTGCTTGTGGCGCAGTAAAGTCAAGGTAAAGCTGGTGCTTGTGGGCAGTAAAGTTAAGGTAAAGCTGGTGCGTGTGGCGCAGTAAAGTCAAGGTAAAGCTGGTGCTTGTGGCGCAGTAAAGTCAAGGTAAAGCTGGTGCTTGTGGCGCAGTAAAGTCACGGTAAAGCTGGTGCTTGTGGCGCAGTAAAGTCAGGGTAAAGCTGGTGCTTGGGTAGTAAAGTCAAGGTAAAGCTGGTGCTTGTGGGGCAGTAAAGTCAAGGTAAAGCTGGTGCTTGTGGTGCAGTAGAATCAGGGTAAAGCTGGTGCTTGTGGGGCAGTAAAGTGCAAGTAAAGCTGGTGCTTGTGGGGCAGTAAAGTCAAGGTAAAGCTGGTGCTTGTGGGGCAGTAAAGTCAAGGTAAAGCTGGTGCTTGTGGGGCAGTAAAGTCAGGGTAAAGCTGGTGCGTGTGGCGCAAACTCAAGGTAAAGCTGGTGCTTGTGGCGCAGTAAAGTCAAAGTAAAGCTGGTGCTTGTGGCGTAGTAAAGACAAGGTAAAGCTGGTGCTTGTGGTGCAGTAAAGTCAAGGTAAAGCTAGTGCTTGTGCAGTAAAGTCGAGGTAAAGCTGGTGCTTCTGGCGCAGTAAAGTCGAGGTAAACTGGTGCTTGTGGAGAAGTAAAGTCAAAGTAAAGTTGGTGCTTGTGGCGTGGGAAAGTCAGGGTAAAGGTGGTGCTTGTTGGGCAGTAAAGTCAGGGTAAAGCTGGTGCTTGTGGTGCTGTAAAGCTGCTGCTTGTGGAGCAGTAAAGTCAGGGTAAAGCTGGTGTTTTTGGAACAGTAAAGTCAAGGTAAAGTTGGTGCTTGTGGGGCAGTAAAATCAGGGTAAAGCTGCTGCTTGTGGGGCAGTAAAGTAAAGGTAAAGCTGGTTCTTGTGGCGCAGTAAAGACAATGTAAAGCTGGTGCTTGAGGGGCAGTAAGGTCAAGGTAAAGCTGGTGCTTGTGGCGCAGTAGTCATGGTAAAGCTAGTGTTAGTGGCGCCGTAAAGTCACGGTAAAGCTGGTGCTTGTGGCGCAGTAGTCAGGGTAAAGCTGGTGCTTGTGGAGCAGTAAAGTCAAGGTAAAACTGGTGCTTGTGGGGCAGTAAAGTCAGGGTAAAGCTGGTGCTTGTGGCGCAGTAAAGACAATGTAAAGCTGGTGCTTGTGGGGCAGTAATGTCAGGGTAAAGCTGGTGCTTGTGGGGCAGTAAAGTCAGGGTAAAGCTGTTGCTTGTGGGGCAGTAAAGTCAAGGTAAAACTGGTGCTTGTTCCGCAGTAAAGACAATAAAGCTGGTGCTTGTGGATCACTAAAGTCAAGGTAAAGCTGGTGCTTGTGGAGCAGTAGTCATGGTAAAGCTGGTGTTTGTGGCGCCGTAAAGTCAAGGTAAAGCTGGTGCTTGTGGGGCAGTAAAGTCAAGGCAAAGCTGGTGCTTGTGGGGGCAGTAAAGTCAAGGTAAAGCTGGTGCTTGTGGGGCTGTAAAGTCAAGGTAAAGCTGGTGCTTGTGGGGCAGTAAAGTCAGGGTAAAGCTGGTGCTTGTGGGGCAGTAAAGTCAAGGTAAAGCTGGTGCTTGTGGGGCAGTAAAGTCAGGGTAAAGCTGGTGCTTGTGGGGGCAGTAAAGTCAAGGTAAAGCTGGTGCTTGTGGGGTTGTAAAGTCAAGGTAAAGCTGGTGCTTGTGGGGCACTTAAGTTGACACAGGTAGGATATGCAATGGGAATTACTCCCCCATCTTTTACAATCAACCATATCAGGATTGGTAATTCCTCTCCCATTTCTTACAATCATGTCAGGATTGGTAATTCCTCCCCCATCCTTGTTAGTCATTCAGGATTGGTAATTCCAACCCCGCCCCCTCCATCCCTTTTACAATCATGTCAGGGGGGTTATAGATAATATAATTGTTACGTTTGCCTGTACCTAGTGTACTATATTGGTTTGAGTGCAGAAGTATTGTAGGAAATTCAGTGCACATCTTAATTACACTTTATTACCATATTTGTACATTTTAATTACTCTTGATTGTCATATTTGAACATCTTACTAACAATTACCATATTTGTACATCTTAATATTCACAATCATCATTACCGTACATCTTGGCAACATTCGAAATCGTTTCATTTATTACACAATTCGTGCCTGAATCTCGCTAAACAAAATCTTCATTAAGACAAGTCTTACTACACAGTCTGAGTCATTGTGACACGTCTACACAATCTTCATTGTAACAGTTTCACTACAGTCGTCATTGGATCAGTCTACATAACCTTCACTGTGACGTCACACTACACAATCTTCATTGTAACAAGTGTCACTATAGTCTTCATTATGAGTTACCACTTAATCTTCAGCTCTAAATTTCATTATACAATCTTCCTCACTGTCTCACTTACAATCTTTATTCTAAGTCTTACTGCATAATCTTCATCATTGAACAAGTCCAACAGGAGCCTTTATGAGAATTCGAACCAATGCGCTGGGTGTTCTCAGGCGTGGTCTTGTCGACTGCACCACGACATGGTAAAGGAATTACAACCCGGAGTGCTACTGCACCCACAAGGGTCCCGAGGCTTCCACTGAAGCCTAACTGGAGTTTCACACAATTTCCTCATGCACTCGGGCTCTGTCAACCAGTAATTCTACCTCTGGTGCCCCCTCCTTCAATACATTGAGAAATCACATTAGCGTGATATATATGATGAACAAATCCAAGTCTTGATGAGTCGTGGTGCAGTCGACTAAAACACGCCTGGGAACACCCTGCGCATAGGTTCAAACTCTCATAAAGGTTCCTGTCGGATTTGTTCAATGATGTATCACGTTAATGTGATTTATTTGTGTATCTTCGTCATTGTACAATCTGTACATTGTACAGCATAATATTCATCATTGTATGAATGGGAGTGTAATCTATCGTGTCGGAGTCTATATCGGAAACTTTCGAAATTTTGGCATCGTTCCATTACTAATTGTAAATCTTACTACACGATCTTCATAATTTTAACGTACTACACGATCTTCATCATTGTAACTACACGTTCTTCATTGTAACTCGCTTCTGAATTGTTTCATTGTTACAATCTCATTACACACAATTTTATTCAATGTAAGTCAATACATCATTTTCATGAATGTCTCACTACACACTCTTCATCTTTGAAAATTTCATTACACAATTTTCTACATTGTAAGTTTTGCAACAATTTTCAATGTAATACTAAACTCAATCGTCAACATTTTAAGACGCTAAATGGTATCATCATTATAAGCCTCATCCCTGTAATCGTCACCAAACACAGTCATCATTGTAAGACTAACCATACACTCATCATTGTAAGACTAACCATACAATCATTGTAAGACTAACCATACACTCATTGTAAGACTAACCATACACTCATTGTAAGACTAACCATACAATCATTGTAAGACTAACCATACACTCATCATTGTAAGACTAACCGTACAATCATTGTAAGACTAACCATACAATCATTGCAAGACTAACCATACAATCATCATTGTAAGACTAACCATACAATCATTGTAAGACACTGTACAATCATCATTGTTAGACTCACAACACAGGATCCCCATCATTGTAACAAGTGTACACGTTACCTTCACCATGTTACGGGTCGCGACAAGCATGGTTATAACCAGTATATCCCTGGAGACCTTCCTCCTCCTCCTCCATGACAAGTTTTGATAATTTTAGCTCGCAACACTTTCACTGGTTGATTTATATGATGAGTCTGAGTATGTATTTATATGATGGGCGTATTATGGTTATGGATTTATGAGTGGGTATAGATTTGGGATTTGTCATTGGAGTCTGGGCCTGGATTTATACCTTGCGTCTGGGTATGGATTTATTTTTTGGAAGACTGGGAATGGGTTTATATGATAGGAATCTGGGGTATGGATTTATATGATGGGAATCTGGGTATGAATTTGTCATGGGTGTCTGGATATGGATTTATGTGATAGGAAACTGAGTATGGATTTATATGATAGGAGCATGGGTATGAATTTGTGATGGGAGTCTAGTATTGAGTTTGGTAGCTTGGTTATGGATTTATATGATGGGAGTGGTTTTGATTTTAGTAGCCTGGGTATGGATTTATAGGATGGGAAACTGGGTATTGATTTTGGTAGTCTGGGTATGGTTTATATAAAATGAGTAGGTATAGATTTATATGATGGGACTGGGTATGGATTTATAGGATGGGAGTCTGGGTATTGATTTTGGTAGTCTGGGTATGGTTTATATATAATGAGTAGGTATAGGTTTATATGATACTAGGTATGTATTTATGTCATTGGAGTCTAGGTATGGATTTATATGATAAGAGCCTAGGTATGGATTTATATGATGGGATTCAGTGGAGTCGAACCTTCTGTGCTGGGTATTCTCATAAGCGTGTGTCCGGGAGTACCCAGCGCAAAGGTTCGAATCCTCAACACGGCTTCTGTAGATTTTCTCATTGATATACTGTATCACTATTTGCTTTCTCTGTACACCTTGTATTATGTGTACTTTATCATGAATTATTACCAAACCTTGTATTATTGTGTACTCTAACGCGAATTATCACTGCACCTTGTATTAATGTTAAACAAGTTTAATCTATAATATTATCTAAGAACGTTGTAAGTCTAGTGTCTGAAAATTTCAATATAAAATCAGCATTAAATACTTAATAGAATAATGCTGGTAAAATAATGTTGCCAGTCCAGGTACTGGATACGTTATGTTCCTCTGTAACAGCTCCACAACTAACACCTGGTTGGATTTTGTGTGCATAATAAAGCACTAAATTAACATAGTCTAGTTAACTAATGTGTAACAACTCCCTAATAATAGCTTTACGCTTACCCCTGATTATTATCTGCCTAAGAGGTCGCAAACAGCTGTCAAACTTGCTATTTATAAGAACAAACATTAACAGACCAGGAATAAATTATTTTAAACATTTATTCAGCAACATTGTCTTAAGGTATGCATTGTGTTATTCAGTCTGACGTTGGAACCGGAATGTTATTCAGTACAAGACATTGAAGTACGTATACTATATAACAATGATAATAACATTTTTACAAGACAACCGGTCTGCTTTGTCAAGGTTGGGCAAATAATGAATATGGGATTAGTGGCAAGTAGTGTATCGTCTGCTTTGATTAGCGTTTTCCATCCAGGATACTAAGAATTACGTACGTTTATTGCTCAAGTTGAAGGGGGTTTTGTTGTCTGAAACCACCTTCCAATGATGAATATTTTAGTCAAAAGCACCGTGTTTTATTTTAAAGACATTAACAATTCACTCTACCTATTTTTAGATTGTTGAAGGCTAAATGTAATTGCTGACTCTTGGCTACATACATCTTTTTATATAAGAGGGGATAATACTGGAATAATCTATGAAAATTAAGGTTTACCGTGAGGCTTTACCTATTTTCTGATCCTGAATGTGTATTTATTTTTTTAATTAATTTATTTTTAAATGTTGAAAGTATTTACAAACAAGTTACGTTGTATAACAGGCAGACAATAGCAAGGCAGTTCAGGAGTCTTTATCTTATAATTAATGCCTGGAATTAATAACCTGCGTTTCAAACACTTAACTTTTTCCTCAGATTCGCTCCATATTCAGAATCTTGGAAGACTTCGAGGAGCGTAAATTTGATTTTTCTGCCTTGGGAGGAATGAAAACTGTCTATAAGTTATTTCACTCATCCCTCAACGAGATAAAAAGTTTGTATTTTATATATAATGTTTAGTTTTAGTTGATTATAATTTAAGATTCATTTTGCAGAGAAATAAAGACAACTAATTTGTAACAAAATGATACATTGAGAATTATACGTAAAGTCGCATCGCTGCTCCATTTAATCAAAACAATAGTATTGCACATTTTTTAATTGTAAATTTCTCTAGAAAATATGCAAGTGCAGAAATAACCATAGTTTAGTATTTGTTATTTTGAAGAGAAATCTACACATAATCTACTGGTGTGGAAGACTTATCTCGTTTGTTTTACCATTACTTGTTTATTTCAGGACAATACACAGTCAAGGATGAAGAACTGGTTAGCTGTCCAGAGAAGAGAGAGGTGTAAGTACAAGTTTGTGTTTGATAATTAACATTTAATTACAGACTCAGTATGGGACTGTGGCGTACAGTGGGAAAGCATGCAATATTTATCCTGACAAATGTTGGAAGATCACCAAGTATGTAGTTAGTGAAGCATCGTTCATTTACGCTGCTGCAGCCTCGTGCGTAACTAATATTATTGATAACATTTACGCTGCTGCAGCCTCGTGCGTAACTAATATTATTGATAACATTTACGCTGCTGCAGCCTCGTGCGTAACTAATATTATTGATAACATTTACGCTGCTGCAGCCTCGTGCGTAACTAATATTATTGATAACATTTACGCTGCTTCAAACTTATGCCTAACTCATATTATTTTATAACATTAATGCTTCTGCAGCCTCATAGACACCTGACATATATTGATAACATTTACCGTGCTGCAGCCTTGAGCGTAACTAATATTATTGATAACATTTACGCTGCTGCAGCCTTGAGCGTAACTAATATTATTGATAACATTTACGCTGCTGCAGCCTCGTGCGTAACTAATATTATTGATAACATTTACGCTGCTGCAGCCTCGTGCGTAACTAATATTATTGATAACATTTACGCTGCTGCAGCCTCGTGCGTAACTAATATTATTGATAACATTTACGCTGCTGCAGCCTCGTGCGTAACTAATATTATTGATAACATTTACGCTGCTGCAGCCTCATGCGTAACTAATATTATTGATAACATTTACGCTGCTGCAGCCTCGTGCGTAACTAATATTATTGATAACATTTACGCTGCTGCAGCCTCGTGCGTAACTAATATTATTGATAACATTTACGCTGCTGCAGCCTCGTGCGTAACTAATATTATTGATAACATTTACGCTGCTGCAGCCTCGTGCGTAACTAATATTATTGATAACATTTACGCTGCGGCAGCTTCGTGCGTAACTAATATTATTGATAACATTTACGCTTCTGCAGCCTCGTGCGTAACTAATATTATTGATAACATTTACAATTCTGCAGCCTCGTGCGTAAATAATATTATTGATAACATTTACACTGCTGCAGCCCCGTGCGTAACTAATATTTATTGATAACAATTACGCTTCTGCAGCCCCGTGCGTAACTAATATTTATTGATAACAATTACGCGGCTGCAGCCTCATGCGTATCTTGAGGTTATCTTAGTATGATTTCAAGTCTTAGCTTCCCCGCGGCTCGGTCCTTGACCAGGCCTCCTTTTTGTTACACACACCCTTAGGAAGCAGCCCGTAGCAGCTGTCTCCCAGGTACCTATTTATTGCTTGATAACAGGTGAAGGAAACTGCCCATTTACTTCCGCCTCTTCCAGGGATGTAACCCGGAACCTCAGGACTACGAATCCGGAGTGCTGTCCACTCAGCTGCAGCAGCCTCGTGCATAACTAATATTTATTGTTAACATTTTCGCTGCTGCAGTTTCACGTGTAACTAATATTTATTGATAAAAATATTTAAAATTGATTGTTAAAAAGAGTAAGATTTGCAATATTTCCCTCAATCTACCACTTGCATTTTCTCTTATTTTTTAATGAGCACCTTCCAGCACTTGATGACATTACAAGTTGCACTATTACAATTAAGTCAACTATTTGTACTCACAATTTAAAAGTTTATATTCTGATAATTAATGTCTTAACAAATATTTATCTACATTGCAGTGAGAATAATGAGGAAAGGAAACCGGGGGAAAGGGTAAGTAAATATTAATGTTTTTCTTTCTATATTTCTAAGCAACTTACACACTGTTTTCAAACAAAATATATTCTGTTCAACTTTTAAGTTTTTGATAACAGGTATTACACAATCCGTTCCTCACTTCCTTCATGTTCAGAATTCCTGTTATGACCTTCAGGAGGAGTTACTGGTCAATGGCTAGGTCTCTGTCCGTTTGTCTCCCTACCTTAGCCTCCCTCATTTTCTCACTTAACCTCCCTTCCTACCTTAGTCTCCTCATTCCACCTCCCTCTTCCATTTTTCATCCATATGTTAGTGTCTCCTCTTCAATTGTACCTCCCATTCTTCTTCCTGTTCTTTCTGGCAATGGGTAAAACCTTCTCGAGTAGCACTGAATCAACTTGTATTCGACGTTGACTCAACGTCGATAACCTTTTGTTTTTATTATCACATTTCGGTACATGTGCATTTGTGCAGCTGCCTTATACTATATGAAGGGAAGTACAGTGTGTGTGTCAAAACACTAGCTATGTGATCCTACAAATCGCCATCACACGGTATGGTTAATCATACTGTGTGATCACAGTATGATTAACCATACTGTGATGGAGGTATGTGTAGAGATATGTGACAACCTTATCACATACCTCTACAGAGGTATGTGATAAGTAGTCTGCACTGGCAAACTCTGGGTGCAGCAGAGAAATCCGTAGGAAAACACTAGGGATACTCAAAACCACATTTCAGACATGTAAGGAGTTGCTAGATTTCTCAGAGGGAGCCAGTCCTACTTAAGAAAGGCATAGGTTGCTGGTTGTCGCAGGAGCCAGTCCTACTTAAAGACGACCATAGGTTGCTGGTTGTCGCAGGAGCCAGTCCTACTTAAAGACGACCATAAGTTGCTGGTTGTCACAGGAGCCAGTCCTACTTAAAGACGACCATAGGTTGCTGGTTGTCGCAGGAGCCAGTCCTACTTAAAGACGACCATAGGTTGTTGGTTGTCGCAGGAGCCAGTCCTACTTAAAGACGACCATAGGTTGCTGGTTGTCGCAGGAGCCAGTCCTACTTAAAGACGACCATAGGTTGCTGGTTGTCGCAGGAGCCAGTCCTACTTAAAGACGACCATAGGTTGCTGGTTGTCGCAGGAGCCAGTCCTACTTAAAGACGACCATAGGTTGCTGGTTGTTGCAGGAGCCAGTCCTACTTAAAGACGACCATAGGTTGCTGGTTGTTGCAGGAGCCAGTCCTATTTAAAGACGACCATAGGTTGCTGGTTGTTGCAGGAGCCAGTCCTATTTAAAGACGACCATAGGTTGCTGGTTGTCGCAGGTGGACGCGTCTCTGTCGTTATCAAGGGTGGATGTAAGTGCTCTTGTCAAGGGTGGACGCGTCTCAGTGTCTAGTCAGTGATTTACTCCATCAATAAGGGCGTACGTCATGACTTCACCTCCAGCCCGAGGTCAAAGACTGATAATATGAGGGCAGATGATATCCAACAAGATGGCTGGAAAGTCGCGGACAATAGGGGGGAACCCGGCCCACAAGGAAGGATGGCATCATAAACATAAAGAAATAGTTGACACTTCGTACCCCTTTTCAGTTTTGTACAAGGAGAACTGTACGGGTAGTGAGCACGATGGAAAAGTGTACATAGAAGGTAGTAGGATATTGGTGGTTGTGGATTCCCAGGTGGTGAATATTTTGCTATAAGTGAGGTTTCTGTCCATGCTGAGCTGGCCTGAGGACACACCTGCGTTATAATTTGACACTTTCACCACCAGAGTCACACCTTCAACCTGGTAATGTCCTTGGAGCGGATCATTGGAGACTTACCTCTTGGGAAGTAATCGAAACGCCAAAGTAAGGTAACACCTGGAAGTGATCGAAGACCTGCATCATTTGCCTCAACGACCTGTATGTTGGAACGAGAAGTAGTGTAAGCAAGACTTCACCACAAATGTGGGGTGTGTAGTGGATACAAGGGAATTCTTGCAAGCACTGCAAATGGACTTAGCAAAGTCTAGCACTGACTCTAAAAAGGACAAAAGCAGTTCAGCATTTGAGAATTTTAGCTAACATAAGAATTGTAAATTGCTTTACCTATGGAAAGACAACGCTGCTGTATACTTTACCAATAATAGTCATAGACATGCCCTAAGAGCCATGGTTAGCAAGGCCGAAACAGCATTATATTAATGCTGGGATTTATAGTAAGGATCGTCAGCACCAGACAACGTCATCCCCCACTTATGTCCAACACCGATGAGGCTCACCTTGAACTGAGCTGTACACTTGTGGTCGCCGTCCTGCTGAACGGACAGAGTAATGTCTCACTACACTCGCTGGAGCAGGCAGGACAAGGCCAGGATATGATCGAGGTTTTCACGAGCACAAAGGAAATAACAGGTTTGTGAAAGTGTCGTAGCAGGTCGGTTCCCGCAAGACTGGGTACAAGCTAGATAAATACTTTTTAGCAAGTATAAAGAAAAGTACCCTCAAAACTGGGTACAAGCTAGATAAACCGTAGCAAGTATTTAGGAAAGTACCCACAAAACTTGGTACAAACTAGATAAATACTCTTTAGCAAGTATATAGGAAAGTACCCACAACTGGGTACAAGATTGATAAACACTTATAAAGTATATCCTATATAGGAAAGTACCTACACAACTGGGTAAAAGCTAGGTAAATACTGTTTAGGAAGTATATAGGAAGGTACCCACGAAACGGTACAAACTAGATAAATACTACAAATCACATAGTGTGATATATCAAATGAACAAATCCACAAGGGCCGTGATAAGGGTTCGAACTCATGCACGGGATGTTCTCAGCTGTGCTCAAGTCTAACTGTGCCTCACCATGATTAATAGAACTACAACCTGGAGTGTTACAGCCCTCGCTAGGATCTTGAAGCTTCTCCGAAGTGTAATCGGGGTTTCACACAATTGCCCCATGCACCCGAGCTCTGTTAAACCAAATGTGCTACCTTTACGCCCTTACTTCAGTACACACAGAAATCACAATAGCGTGATATATCAAATGAACAAATCCACAAGGGCCGTGATGAGGGTTCGAACCTATGCACTGGATGTTTCCAGCTGCGCCTTAGTCAACTGTGCCACGGCATGATCAAAAGAATTGCAACCTGCAGTGCTACAGCCCTCGCTAGGATCCCGAAGCAACCACTCCAAGTTGCAATTCTTTTAACCATGTTGAGGCACAGCTGGAAACATCCTGTGCGTAGGTTCGAACCCTCATCACGGCTCTTGTGGATTTGTTCTTTTTAGATAAATACTGTTTAGCAAGTATATATGAAAGTACACACAAAACGGGTAAAAACTACACAAATACTGTTTAGTATATAGGAATGTACCCACAAAATTGGGTACAAGTTAGATAAATACTGTTTAGTATATAGTTATGTAGCCGTTAAGGACTAGGTTGTGGATGAATGCAGTTTAAGAGGAGTGAACAGTAAGTTGGATAAGCATATGAGTGAGAAGCGTAGTAGTAAATAGACCGTCTTGTATGGGCCAACAACCTTGCTGCACAACTTAATTCCTATGTTCATTTATTCTTCATTCTGTGTCACTCTGGAAAGTAAAACTTCAGAGCTCTTAATATAAATAAGAAAGTTTTCCAGTGCGTAAGATTAGCTTTATCATTACTTGCCGTGTTTCATGGTAACTTGAGTCCAGTCTGTAAAATTATAAAGTAGCTGCAACACTTATAACTAGTAGTATAGGGAAGTATAGTAATTATGTTATGTATTAACACATGGTTGACTGGCATTTCAGGATGATGAAGTCTGCTGTAAAGTGTTAGTTACACTTTAATGGAAGATTACATTTTATTCAACATACTGTTACAGGACGAATTTGAATGTCTGCATTAACTTTCACCAATAGTAATATTTCCATGTATCGAAACTAAGACGAATTGACTACATTAAACATGCTTCATTTGCTGTATTTTTACTATCATTTACTTTCAGGAAACGACTGAACCAAATCTGGACTCCGTAATTAATGAGCTGGATAAGCTTTGGGAGGAAGAAATAGCACTAATGGACAATGCTGGAGCGGTCTTCTTGTTGAAGTTGCTGTGAGTATAATTTGCTACTCTTACTAATGCGGGTCATTTTTATGTTCAAAGTTCATTAAAAATAATTACGTGAACTTTAGTAATATTTTGTGTAATGAGATGAGAAGGAATGGAAAACTGTATAGTTGAAGGATGACTAAAATATGTATATAGATAGTGAGACTAATGGGCGGTGGGAGAAGTGGAACAGTTTACTGACAGTGTTCACGGACAACTGACTTTCACAGACATAACAGTAAAAGGTATAACCCCCAAATATCTTTTTCCATACAACTGGAAAGCAAATAGTATATCACAGCGGTTCCCATACTCTTGCGGCGGCATCTTCCACCTCAGTATATACTGGAGTCTGGCCTTGTCTCCCCCAAAGTAGATTCCTTGTCTTCCCCTATTATAGACCCGGCCATAATATTGGAAAATAAGCATCATAAAATAGGTTGACCATGCACGTCGATGATGATGTTTTACTGTGCATATTCCCTTCAAAAATGTTGGTAAAGAAGATATGGTAAATATTTATTAAACATGTTCTGTAAGGCATTATTGATTTTAATGAACCATGATATATATATATATATATATATATATATATATATATATATATATATATATATATATATATATATATATATATATATATATATATATATATATATATATATATATATGTCGTACCTAGTAGCCAGAACTCACTTTTTGGCCTACTATTCAAGGCCCGATTTGCCTAATAAGCCAAGTTTTCCTGAATTAATATATTTTTTCTAATTTTTTTCTTATGAAATGATAAAGCTACCCATTTCATTATGTATGAGGTCAATTTATTTTTTATTGGAGTTTAACGTAGATATATATGACCGAACCTAACCAACCCTACCTAACCTAACCTAACCTAACCTATCTTTATAGGTTAGGTTAGGTTAAGTAGCCGAAAAAGTTAGGTTAGGTTAGGTTAGGTAGTCGAAAAACAATTAATTCATGAAAACTTGGCTTATTAGGCAAATCGGGCCTTGAATAGTAGGCCAAAAAGTGAGTTCTGGCTACTAGGTACGACATATATATATATATATATATATATATATATATATATATATATATATATATATATATATATATATATATATGTCGTACCTAGTAGCCAGAACGCACTTCTCAGCCTACTATGCAAGGCCCGATTTGCCTAATAAGCCAAGTTTTCCTGAATTAACATATTTTCTCTAATTTTTTTCTTATGAAATGATAAAGCTACCCATTTCATTATGTATGAGGTCAATTGTTTTTTATTGGAGTTAAAATTAACGTAGATATATGACCGAACCTAACCAACCCTACCTAACCTAACCTAACCTATCTTTACAGGTTAGGTTAGGTTAGGTAGCCGAAAAAGTTAGGTTAGGTAGTCGAAAAACAATTAATTCATGAAAACTTGGCTTATTAGGCAAATTGGGCCTTGCATAGTAGGCTGAGAAGTGCGTTCTGGCTACTAGGTACGACATATATATATATATATATATATATATATATATATATATATATATATATATATATATATATATATATATATATATATATATATATATATATATATATATATATATATATATATATATATATATATATATATATATATATTATATTGGTGTATACTGGCAGCATGTTTTCTTTCCACCATGTTTCATTGAATATGACCGCATATTCTGTATTTATTATTTTCTGGTTTAGGGATTCTATCTCTCTTAACTGTTTTCTTAGCATCAGGGCTTAGTTGAAATAGGAGTTCTCCAAAACTCATTTTCGTACTTTTAAGGTGAAGAAAAGAAGTGATTTACTATAGAATGTATTACACTTATTTATACAATTTGCACAACGTTTCGAACCTCCATGGTTCATTCTTAAGTGAAGAGATCTTACAATGTTGGTTGATTTTATACCCGCACTGGGTCAGGTGATAAGGCAATAAAGGTGAAAACATGGGGGGGATAAATGTGGGGTGAAACATAAGAATAGAGGTAACTGCAGAAGGCTTATTGGCCCATACGAGGCAGCTCCTATCTACATACAAAGATTAATCCAGTGTAATTGGCCTGTTATGTTGGACATAACGTTGTCCAACATAACAGCAACATGTTGTTGTCCAACAACATGTTGTCTTCTGTGTTGGCATCGTTATGTTCTGGTCTTGTCCTTACTCTCATGGTGGGTAGAGTAAATAGTTCCGTGATTTCGGTGTTCATGGTAGGTTGTTCTATTCTTATGTGAATTGCCTCAAGAATTTGTAATCTTCTTGCATCTTGGGTTTTGTCTATTATGCAGGTATTCTTGTTCAACATTTCTCTTGTTAGAGTGATGTCGTGGGCTTGTCTCATGTGATTCCTAGGGGCACCGGATTGAAGATGGCATGTCAAACGCCTCGTCAGCTTGGTCGACGTCATACCTATGTACTTAGATTGAAGGTTACATCCTTCGTGGGGGCAAGTGTACATGTATACAATGCTTGACTGCTGTAGAGGGTTCTCCGTCGGCTTCGGGCTGTTTTTGATAAGTTTTATATATATATATATATATATATATATATATATATATATATATATATATATATATATATATATATATATATATATATATATATATATATATATATATATATATATATACATACATATGTCGTACCTAGTAGCCAGAACTCACTTTTTGGCCTACTATTCAAGGCCCGATTTGCCTAATAAGCCAAGTTTTCCTGAATTAATATATTTTTTCTAATTTTTTTTCTTATGAAATGATAAAGCTACCCATTTCATTATGTATGAGGTAAATTTTTTTTATTGGAGTTAAAATTAACATAGATATATGTCCGAACCTAACCAACCCTACCTAACCTAACCTAACCTATCTTTATAGGTTAGGTTTGGTTAGGTAGCCGAAAAAGTTAGGTTAGGTTAGGTTAGGTAGTCGAAAACCAATTAATTCATGAAAACTTGGCTTATTAGGCAAATTGGGCCTTGCATAGTAGGCTGAGAAGTGCGTTCTGGCTACTAGGTACGACATATATATATATATATATATATATATATATATATATATATATATATATATATATATATATATATATATATATATATATATATATATATATATATATATATATATATATATATATGTCGTACCTAGTAGCCAGAACGCACTTATCAGCCTACTATGCAAGGCCAAATTTGCCTAATAAGCCAAGTTTTCCTGAATTAATATATTTTCTCTAATTTTTTTCTGATGAAAAGATAAAGCTACCCGTTTCATTATGTATGAGGTCAATTTTTTTTTTATTTTAGTTAAAATCAACGTAGATATTTGACCGAACCTAACCAACCCTACCTAACCTAACCTAACCTATCTTTATAGGTTAGGTTAGGTAGCCGAAAAAGTTAGGTTAGGTTAGGTCGTCGAAAAACAATTAATTCATGAAAACTTGGCTTATTAGGCAAATCAGGCCTTGCATAGTAGGCCAAAAAGTGCGTTCTGGCTACTAGGTACGACATATATATATATATATATATATATATATATATATATATATATATATATATATATATATATATATATATATATATATATATATATATATATATATATATGCTTAAGGCACAACTCTCCTAAACACGAGAGTTAAGTATACAACTTTAGAACACTTTCCCACCAGGAGACTCGAACCCTAGCCAGCACAGAAGCCTTCCAGCAACTGGCATAACAGGTACGCCTTAACCCTCTGCACAACCGCTCAGACTTAGTGCAGAGGGTTAAGGCGTACCTGTTATGCCAGTTGCTGGAAGGCTTCTGTGCTGGCTAGGGTTCGAGTCTCCTGGTGGGAAAGTGTTCTAAAGTTGTATATATATATATATATATATATATATATATATATGCGAACAAGCCTGAATGGTCCCCAGGACAATATGCAACTGAAAACTCACACCCCAGAAGTGACTCGAACCCATACTCCCAGGAGCCACGCAACTGGTATGTACAAGACGCCTTAATCCACTTGACCATCACGACCGGACAGAATGAGGTGATAGCCGAGGCTATTTGAACCACCCCACCGCCGGCACTCGGATAGTAATCTTGGGCATAGCATTTTACCAAATCACCTCATTCTTTGGGGCACACGTGAGGAACACAAATGCGAACAAACCTGAATGGTCCCCAGGACAATATGCAACTGAAAACTCACACCCCAGAAGTGACTCGAACCCATACTCCCAGGAGCCACGCAACTGGTATGTACAAGACGCCTTAATCCACTTGACCATCACGACCGGACAAAATGAGGTGATAGCCGAGGCTATTTGAACCACCCCACCGCCGAATGAGGTGATTTGGTAAAATGCTATGCCCAAGATTACTATCCGAGTGCCGGCGGTGGGGTGGTTCAAATAGCCTCGGCTATCACCTCATTCTGTCCGGTCGTGATGGTCAAGTGGATTAAGGCGTCTTGTACATACCAGTTGCGTGGCTCCTGGGAGTATGGGTTCGAGTCACTTCTGGGGTGTGAGTTTTCAGTTGCATATTGTCCTGGGGACCATTCAGGCTTGTTCGCATTTGTGTTCCTCACGTGTGCCCCAAAGAATGAGGTGATTTGGTAAAATGCTATGCCCAAGATTACTATCCGAGTGCCGGCGGTGGGGTGGTTCAAATAGCCTCGGCTATCACCTCATTCTGTCCGGTCGTGATGGTCAAGTGGATTAAGGCGTCTTGTACATACCAGTTGCGTGGCTCCTGGGAGTATGGGTTCGAGTCACTTCTGGGGTGTGAGTTTTCAGTTGCATATTGTCCTGGGGACCATTCAGGCTTGTTCGCATTTGTGTTCCTCACGTGTGCCCCAAAGAATGAGGTGATTTGGTAAAATGCTATGCCCAAGATTACTATCCGAGTGCCGGCGGTGGGGTGGTTCAAATAGCCTCGGCTATCACCTCATTCTGTCCGGTCGTGATGGTCAAGTGGATTAAGGCGTCTTGTACATACCAGTTGCGTGGCTCCTGGGAGTATGGGTTCGAGTCACTTCTGGGGTGTGAGTTTTCAGTTATATATATATATATATATATATATATATATATATATATATATATATATATATATATATATATATATATATATATATATATATATATATATATATATCAGTATAACCAGTAGGTTACATTCAGTGTACCGCCACTTAATGGTAACACTCAGTGTACTGCCACTTGGTGGTAACACTCAAGTGTACTGCCACTTGGTTACACAATGCACTACCACTTAAGGGTAACACTGTGTACTGCCACTTAATGAGTGGCCATTTTTAGTGTTCCGCCCCTAGGCTGTTGTTAAAATGTCCTTCACAAACATTTAATTGAATACTTCTGAATATTTTAAGTCTCACACAGTAATTACACTAACGTGATGCATCAATGAAAAAATGTTTAGGAGATGTGATGATGATTTGAATCTATGCGGTGATTATTCCCATACTTGCTCCAGACAAGGAGGCCATTACACGGTCAAAAAAAGAAATTGCAACCTTGTGTACTACTGCACCGACGAGAATTCTTGCGACTTACACTGAAGTCTAACCAGAGTTTCACACAATTCCCCTTATGCACTCTGGCTCTGTCATCAAGGAATGTTCTACCACTGATGCTCCTTGTTCAGTCTGCAGATTTTAGTATTGATGCATCGCGTTAGTGCGATTACTCTGTATTGCGTCAGAGGTAGAACATTCCTAGCTGAGAGCCAGAGTGCAAGACGGTATGTTTGAAGCTCAGGTTCGGCTTCCGTGGAAGCTTCATGAATCCTTGTGGGTACAGTAGTACTCCCAAGTTGCAATCCTTTTGACCATGTCGTGGCCTGGTTGTGTGGAGTCTGTCCCTGGGAACACTCACTGCATAGCTTCAAATCATCATCACGGCTCCTATAATTTTCTCATTTTGTTAAGTCTTGTTATACCTGTTACTTAACTACTTACCTTAACATGTTCTTGCTGGGAAAAACCTCATTACATAATGTGTTTAAATGCAATAATTTGTGACCGTTTAACTTGTATAACAAAAAATATAATGTTTCAAGTGTACTATGAAATCTTCGACACCTCCAAGTTGAGGTATCTGGGAGAGGATTGCACACAAGGCCGTCTCATCCAAGAAGGAGAGCTCCTTTAAGAGACCTGGCATGATTTACAGAAATATATATAGCATGTTACACCCATGTTATGTTTATATCCGTTTTGATATAACAAATACAATAGTTTATTGTGTTCCATGTTTTATCCTTAAATTATCGTGTATATATTTTAGAATATAACCAATTTTGTGTTTATTTTTCAGGTGTGCTATTCGCTTAACATTGGAGAAGATGTTGCACAAGAATTATTAGGTTGAAGAATTTGTCGAGAACGTAGGAAGAACTTAACAAGAGAGTTATGGAAGAAAATGGACAAGCACCTGTTAAAAGCAGGTTTATGGGAGAAAAAAGTTTCTATCCTAAGTTGTTAGGTGAAAGTCTAATTTAATCAAACTTCAAAGAATGAGGATTTATTTTCCCAGGGAAATTACAAAACCACTCAAGTGCAATATTAAAATTATTAGTTTATCAGGAGAGGATTAAAGCAAAGAGAATAGCTTGTTCTAAATTATCAATAACTGGAAATATAAGAATGTTTGATATATTATTTGAAAACAAATGTGTCATTGGACGTGTCAATCAAAAACTTATGTTCATGTAGGAGTCTTACGTTCAGTCTTTTCTTAAAAGGTGTATTTTATTTGTAAGATTCAGTAGAACTAATGTCCTCAAAATATATATATATAATTTGTAATATTCATTGAAGGAATACTTTTAAAGGACAAGTTTGCAATTAATCTGTTTATTAGTTCAGTTTAATTATTTACATAAACAATACCAGTAAGGTTGTTGGTATTTTCTCCCACTTGCGTAATGCCACCACAAGTGTCCCCTTCATATAGTAACCTTCAACACATTATTATACAAAATATTCCTCGCCCACTTGTGTAATAGGACCACAAATGTCCCCACCATATTGTAACCAACACATTATTACACCAAATATCTTGCCATCTTCTGAAATATTGTCATGTTAGTTATAAAGGACAATCACATGTTATAACTATTGCAAGGGAAATTTACTTGTCTGATGTGTATTTTTCACTAATGTAAAATAACACCTAATAAATGTATAATTGATATTAATGTTTTTGTTTGTTATTGGTATAATAAAAACAATTGTCATTGTTCAATACCATAGTTTCATTAACTTGTTAAGCTATTCATCACACCACCACTCACCTTGTGGAACTATTCGTCACTTGGGAAATTATCACGTCCAATATAAAAACTAATGCAACAGCCATAAAATGCTGTTAATTTGCATTAATTCAAGTAGTTAATGAATACATTAATCAATTCATAAAAATATTAGAGAATGGGAAATTCATCTAACTAATGTTACACTAATCCTCTAGTCTAAAGAGCTTGTAACCTAATAGGTGCTAAGTAACCTCTGCTTGGTGCCTTTTAATAATTACTTGTAACACAATAATATACATTCAATTACTGAGATTACACAACTTTCTTTACTCTTCTATATATTTGGCACCTGACTAGCAAGCCGGGAGGAGGCGGCAACCATTGTGTTTTGTTGAACCTTTAGACCGATCAGAACGGGCCTCCCATAACAGTCCCAGAATGCAACGTGACTGAAAATAAGTATTTATTGCCGCAACTTGCGGAATAAGCGAAGTGCCAGAGTTCGGTTTGTCTATTAGCTCAGATTAGTTGACCAATGATTGTCTCTGGTAAATCTATAGGAAACGGGAAACTACTCGAAAGGGTAAAAGTCTAGTTAATTTACATTTTGAAACTATAAAGGCTGACAGAACATTACTGCTGGCACGCCTGTCTCTTAAGTCAGAAACGTAACCCGGGCTGCTGCTCCCTTCCCGGCAGGTTAGAAGGCCTTCGCTTCCCAACCATCTGACTCACTGCATCCCCCCCCTATTACGGTGGTCGAGTCTCTTGTCCCGGCTATGGTGGTTCCTTTAGCCCCAGATTCTCTCGGTTGCCGCCCTCGCTGTGGTGCACTCCCTTCTCTGTTACCTCCTTCAGCTCCGGACCCTCTGTCCACCTCTGGTCAATTACCCCGCTTCCTTACCTCCATTGTCATTGCAAATGTTCCCATGCCCCCCCTAACCCTGATTTCACTGATCTTCTTTAATATACTCTGTCGTTGCCTTTGTCTCTTCATTCCTCGCTGTTGCTATTCATTTCTCTTTTTAACAATGTCTATTCTTCAATGGAATATTCGTAGATTTTATGCCAATTTCCATGAATTCTTACTTTTGATAACACAGTTTTCACCACTTTGTTTGTCTCCAGGAACCAATGCTTGGCGCTCGTCCTGATCCTCGTGGATATTCCTTTCTCTTCACCCCCCCCCCCCGTCCCCCGTCACCAAGAGCCTGACAACTGGGTGGACAGTGCTTCAGATTCGTTGTTCTGAGGTTCCGGGTTTAATTCCCGGCGGAGGTGGAGACCAATGGCAAAATGTTTCTTTCACCCTGATGGGCCTGGGGCCAGATTCACGAAAGCACTTACGCAAGCACTTACGAACGTGTACATCTTTCCTCAATCTTTGACGGCTTTGGTTATATTTATCAAACAGTTTACAAGCATGAAAACTTCCCATTCAACTGTTGTTATTGTTATAAACAGCCTCCTGGGGCTTCGGAGCTTATTAACTGTTTAATAATTGGAAACAAGGCCGCCAAAGATTGAGAAAAGATGTACACGTTCGTAAGTGCTTGCATAAGTGCTTTCGTGAATCTGGCCCCTGGTACCTAGCAGTAAATAGGTACCTGGGAGTTAGCTGCTACTGGCTACTTCCTGGGGGTGTGTAACAAAAAGGAGGCCTGGTCGAGGACCGGGCCGCAGGGATGCTAAGCCCCGAAATAATCTTAAGATAACCTCAAGATAACCCACCTTCAGCTTCTGTTGGGGACCATAACTACTGCTCTCTTAATTCGTATTGATATTCCCATCGTCCCCGCCTACTTTTTCCGTCGCCTATCCAATGTTCTGCTGCCCGTATCTTTGTGAGTAAATGGTATACAGTCTCCCATTTATCTCTCTCCAAATGTCCCGCTTTCTCTTCCTGATCTTAAGCACCTCCTGGACTCCTTACCAGAATCTGTGCTCCTGTTGGGTGATTTTAACTTTTGGCATACCCTCTGGAGATGATGCTCAAACCATTTGTCCTCTATTCTTCTCGGTCTCTTCTGAATTCTGGTGAACCCACTCATTTGGACACCTGCACTCGCATCCTCTCCTGTCTTTATTTCTCTTTCTGTTCGACCTCTCTTTACTGAAGATTTCACGTGGCAGGTTCTTGATGACCTCCATAACAGTGACCATTTCTCCATCCTCGTTTCCTTTTTCTCTTTTCACCCTTCCCTAGGTGGCAGTTTGCCAAGGCTGATTGGATGGAATCTATTCACCCTCCTTGCTACTCTTTCCGACCTCTCCATTTTGCCTCTCCACCGACCCCTCCTTTTTTCATGACACCATATTCGACGCTGCCCTCCGCTCTATTCCTTGCTCTGCCTCCTGGGGCATGCAGAGGTTCGTTCCCTGGTGGAATGGGGACGGTGCTCTGGCTTTCCGCTGTAAGGAAGAAGCAGTTTGGAAGAAACTCTGACGCCGGCAGACGGCTTATTCTTTTCTTTTCTTTTGGAAGGCAAGTGCGGTGGCCCGTAGGACCATCCGTACAACTAAACGTGAGAGTTGAAAATCTTATGTCTCCACCATTACGTCCGATACTCCTCAACCGCAGATCTGGAAGAAAATCCGCAAGATAGCGGATAAGTTTGTTCCAGATGTCTCACCGGTTCTCCACCTCCGTAGTACTCTTATGGCTGACCCAGTGAAGGTCGCGACCGATCTGAGTTCCCACTGTTCGACTGTTAGCTTCGGTTCTCATCTTCCTCAATTCTTCCTTCTTCGTAAGCCTGTTCTTATATCTCATCCCTTAGATTTCCACACTCATCTCCGACTTCCCAATAACGATTCCTTCTCACTCTCCGAACTTCAGTTTGCTCTGGCCCTCTGCGGCTCTACGGTAGCGGGCCCAGAAGACATTATGAGCTGCTTCGCCATCTCCCTCCTTGCACGTCTCAGTATTTACTGAATCTGTATACCCGTATCTAGGAGTCGTCGTCGGTCCCCGATGACCTACGAACAACCATTCGATGCAGTTGTTCTCCCTCTTCGGAAACCAGAGTCTCTCGGGACATCCCATAAAGACTTCCGCCCTATTGCCTTCACGAGTTGTGTCTGCAAGCTCTTTGAACGTATGGTAAATGTTCGTCTGATGTTCTTAGAACATCATCACCACTCACCTTGTTGAGATACTCATCACACCAGAAACAACCGTGTTGATAAATTCATCTTACCACCACCTACCTTGTTGAGATATTCATCACACTATCATCCACCTTGTTGATACATTCATCACTCCAGCACCCACCTTGTTGAGATATTCATCACTCCAGCACCCACCTTGTTGAGATATTCATCACTCCAGCACCCACCTTGTTGAGATATTCATCACTCCAGCACCCACCTTGTTGATACATTCATCACTCCAGCACCCACCTTGTTGAGATATTCATCACTCCAGCACCCACCTTGTTGATACATTCATCACTCCAGCACCCACCTTGTTGAGATATTCATCACTCCAGCACCCACCTTGTTGAGATATTCATCACTCCAGCACCCACCTTGTTGAGATATTCATCACTCCAGCACCCACCTTGTTGATACATTCATCACTCCAGCACCCACCTTGTTGAGATATTCATCACTCCAGCACCCACCTTGTTGAGATATTCATCACTCCAGCACCCACCTTGTTGATATATTCATCACTCCAGCACCCACCTTGTTGATATATTCATCACTCCCGCACCCACCTTGTTGAGATATTCATCACACCTTGCAGATAAGGGAGAGACGGACATCAATAAATGTGCCCAGTCAGCTGATACAGTCCAATCCAATCCATAGATCTTTTGATTCATATTCCAGTAAACCATCTTGGTCCAGTCATGGTCCATCTCAAGCAAGTCATAAAGACATTAACTATTCACTTTACTGCAGGTACTGTAAAACTTATCAACACCTTATTGATAAATGTCCTAACCCTAATTTCATAACTACTAGCACTGCTTCACATAAGCCTAAGCTTCAACCATCTAAGCCTGTGTTACATGTAAATGTTCCCGTTATTGAGCTTGCTTTATTGGACAGACGTGTGTATGTAGGAACTGTATCCTCCAACGGTAGAGATTTCGAGGGTAAGAGCTCCATACGCATCTTGAGGGACACAGCTTCGCTACAGTATATTCTACTAAAAGCCGCTGCACCTCAACTCAACTACACGGGAGAAACAGTCTTCATCACTGACCTCACTGCAACTACACCATACCCGCTCGTCACAGTCCACCTGGAGTGTCTGTTCATTCGTAGGTAGGTACATGTCGCAATTCGGGAAAAACCTATTCCCATGCCAAGTGTGGGGAAATATACCAGGATTGACATAAGAGGAGAATTCCATTGGAACGAAAAATGTGAAACTAAAAAATTAATTTATTAAAAAGGTGCAAAAGAATTAGACTTATCTAAATGCAAGGTTCCTATGCTGGATTGTAAGTCCACTCCTCTGTGAACTTGATACTGGTATTGTAGCGGCTGTATATATTTTTTTATTAAGGCCTGTCGGCCGTCTATCACTCCATCAAGGAGGACGTAATGTATAGGGGGTTTAATAGCAGGTACGGTCCTTAAGACTGACCTTGGACATCAATTGCAGAACTACACATTACCTACAGGTAGACTCTCACATTTAACTTGTAAATTTAAACAAGGCTGTGATAAAACAGCTCTATGACTGCAAACACTGGTAAGGTTCATGATCTAGGACCTGAACAGTATACACTGTCTAACCTAGTCCTAGGAATTATATAGCACTCAATAAGAATGTGCTAGTGCACACAACATGATATAATTACACAAAGATATATGTAAATTTGCATAAAAAATATTATATGCAATAAAATAAAGTAACTTGATAAATTAAGATTAATGGATAAGGTAATTAAATGTATAATAAGTTATAATAAAGAATTATATACACAAGATATGGATATTCAGCAATATAAGCTCGCTGCATGAGTAGGTC